CTTAACGAACACATAAATCTTTCAGGGACAAGGGGGGACAACTATCCCCCCCTTTTTTTATAAAAAAATAGTTATAAACAGTTGTTCGCTACACAATAATAAAGAAAATAGGTTGATTCAGTGATCGTGTTCTTTATAAGAGCTTTATGTGGGGTTCAATCCTTGTATCCAGCATTCTTTTTCCTTCTTATTATTTCTATTTTATAATATTTTTTTTTCTTTCGTTGCTCATTTCCCTACTTCAGAGTTCATACATATGTTTTTTATTTTATTTTATTTTATTTTATTTTTTAATTCTATTCATCTATAAAACAATTCCTTATTTTTTTCCCTTCCTTCACTATAGCAATTTACATAAATATTTTAATAATTGCTCAAATTGCAACCCTAAATTGTTGGTTGTAATAGGAATTTTGGGAAAAGGTAATTGATTTTATTATATATCTCAATATAAATTAAATTGCTAAAGGGGTTTTGTCAAATTATATAATGTCCTTAATTCGTCCTCCCACGAGGAAAATTCTGGCTCCGCCACTGTCCTTTATACTCTCCCCCTTTTTTTTATACGCTAGAGATGAGATTGCTCAGAGTTTTAGGAGGTTTAATAAAATAAGATGTTAGTGGGGTAGATAAGGTTGTTATTTTATTGAAAAGTAAAGAGGTGTGAGAGGTAGTGGGGACCATTGGAGGAATGAGAAATGATAAAGTAAGAAAGAGTGGGGACATAAGTGGGTGAAGATATATTATTAAATTGTAAAAGATTTCCAAAAATGGAACTCTAGCTTATAAAAAACCGAACGAAAATAGTAACTCTACCTTATAAAAAAAATAAAAAAAAACAAAAAAAAAAACCGGAGGGAGTACATATCTTATGCTCAATATATACGTAACCGTCTTTAACTTTTTTTTATTTTTATATTTCATTGTCCTGCAATAAGAGATCAAAATATGTTAAAGGAAAATGTTAATAACAATCAAAATACACTATAAACAAAACAGGATAATTAATTAACTAAACATTTACAAAAACAAATTTGAACACATTGTCAGAAAATGAACATAGTTCAATAAGAGAATGAACAAGTATTGAAATCTATATGAACATCTTTCTACACAAAAATGAACATACACCAAAAGTCAAATGAACATCTTTAATACGAGAATCAAATATAAAAATTTAATTGAGCATTTTTTAATATAATAATAAACAAGTATTATTAAAAATTGAAACAAATATCTTTTAATATGAGAATGAACAAGTATAAACTAAATCAATATGTTTAGATATAAAATAAATATTGTGTTAAATTGCAAATGAACATCTTTCAATATCAAATTGAACATGTAATGTAAAGAGAATGAACATGTATCATATTTAAATATACGTATATTAATATGAAAAAGATCACAAATGAATATGAATTCCATCTATAATGATATTTTTTCCATCTAAAACAAACATTTACGATATGATAGATTAAAATTTACTAGCCAAAATTTGTTAAATAACAGTTTTTAGTGACAAAATAAATAATATTAAATGATATTGATGGTTCAATTTCATAAATCAAATTGATAATTTGTCTTTAATTTTAGTTATTATAATTTGGAATTTTTTTGGCAACTATAATTTGAATATTAATCGTCTACAAATGAACATAAAGTCCATCTAAAATGAACATTTACAATAAATTAAATGTACTAGCAAAAATTCACCAAATAACAGCTATAATTAAATTATGTTATAATTATGGAAAACTTTTGTAATAACATAATGCAATTATTATTATAAAAATCACTTTCATTTAAAACTATGAGAGATTACAAACTCTAATTGAATTTCTTATTAGATCTGTGAAGAATTCTAATGATTATCTATTAATATGTGAATGACCATATACTAATCTATAAATGTATAAATGAACATTCAAAACGAAAATGAACATTCATTTAAAAATAAAAATAAAAAAAAACCTCCATGATGAACTAAATTTACATTTCTATAATCCTATGAAATAGATAAAATTGTCCATTATATTAAGACAATTGAACTCTATTTTTAATTTTTTGTGTCTAGTAATTTTATAAGCTAATAACACACACCACAAGTTAAATCAACTTAAAATAGAGTATATCAAACATCATTCTACTATAATCATAAGAAATCATTATTATGATAAATATTATAAGAAATCATGAATTGCTACAACTGAAATATCATATTATTGAAATAAGGCAAATAAAAAGTTATAGTTTGAACTTTTTTTTCGGAAAATAAACAAAATCATCAACTTACAATTTGATTGTTGGTCGTTCTTTTGTAGAAATTTTCTTCGATTTCTCGATTTCGTCTCTTACATATAATGTTTTAATAGAGATCTAAGAGCCCCTTTGATTTATTTTTCAAGAAAAATTTGGAAGATTTTGGTAGTGTAAGAGAGAGAAAGTGGTAAAACTATAAGGAGAGAAATTTTTTGAAATGTTGGTAAAATTATGAGGGAAACTAATTTATAAAAGAAGAAAGAAAATGTGAGAAACTGATTTTTATTATTCAAGTTAGACCTGGCAATCCTGACCCAACCCGAATGACCTAACCCGTGACCCGAACACAACACTGACCCGACCCGACCCATACCCGACCCGAAGTAGAGTTGACCCGATACTCGAATTGACCCGTCCCAAATTAACCCAAAACCCGAATTGCCCCAACCCGAAATTGACCCGATACCCGAAATGATCCGACCCGAAACCCGAAGTGACCCGACCCGATCTTGACCCGAATTGATGGACCCGAACAGACCCAAAACCTGAAGCGACCCGAACTATACCCGAAATGACCTGACCCAAAATTAACAAATACTCAAAATGACCTAACTGCGCAATTACTTTACCCGAATAGACACTTATCGAAAATAACATAAACATTATAGTCTTGTGTGTATAGTATTGTTGGAATGTGCGTGTAATTTAATACTCGTAATTTATGAAGAGTTCCACTTTATTAGGAACACTTGTTATAGTGATCATACATATGAAACTATACAGTCTTGTGTATATAGTACTGTTGGAATTGTCTAATGAATATATTATTAATATTCAATTGTTATACTTTATATTTATTGATAATTATAATATATTATTGGTTAAATTTCTACATCGACATAGATAAAGATTGACCCAACCCGAACTCGACTGGAATTCAACCCGACCCGAACCACCACTGACCCGATACCCGACCCGATCCAAACCACCATTGACCCGAAAATGAACCGAAATCCGAATTGACCCGACCCGACCCGAATATTGATTGACTCAAAATTAACCCGACTTAAACTGCCCGACCTATATCCAACCCAAATGACCCGTTTATCAGGTCTAATTCAAGTTATATAGTAACTCCAATTTGCTTGAACACGAGGTCTATAACATGGCCCACGGGCTTGCACAAGCACAACCCTACGGCCTCGTCCAACTTTCAACCAAAACTTGTCGGAATACACAAAAAAACATGTAGTCCATGCTAGTGCTCTACTTTGCTTATTCGAATAATAAATTTATTGATGATCTATTCATCTTTGTTCTAGAACAAGGGTTGAAGGTCAAAATGTAAACGAATAAACGATTGACTATTTCTTTAATTAAATTTGCCAATTAAATTGATTGACTTGTAACTTTGTTAGTAATACTGTAAGAGTACAATATTGAATAAATTAAAGTCCAAAACAAGACAGTTTAAGCACAAGCTGGAACTGTGAGTCTGTGAGCGCCCACAAAGACGTAATTCCAAAACTATGAGCGCACCTGAGAACAACACTTGCAACTTGCTTCACCAATATGCAACCATGCATCGCATTCTACGTGTTCAACATTCAACGACCACTACATTCATTGAATTACTTTTAACATTTTATTACTAGAAATATTGCTCTTTTTGGAAAGGAAAAATGATAGATTAAGTTAGAGTTTAAGTCAAATACTTCGTATAAAACTTTACATTGAAACATAACCCCCATCTATATAAATTCCTTAAGGATGAATTTTTATTTAGGATCTTGGTAATGAGCATCCTGGGGCATTCGTTAGATAATTACTTTATATACTGTATAATCTAAAATAGTATTAATTTTAAAAGTACATGTCAAAATCATGTGTCAATCTGTATAATAATATTTATTTTACCTTAATATTCCACTTTCAGTTCTCTTATCTAATGTAGGCCCAGAACCTTATTAGCTTTTTGCCATTTTTTTACCCTCCAACATCACTCATTATTAATTTGACTGCAATTCATTGGATTCATTCAACACATTAGTCTGTTAGACCTCTCTAAATATAAAGGTATATTCATTTTTTTAAAAGATTAGATTTATGATCAAAATTTTTTTTTTAAGAAATTTATGATCAAAATTTGGTTAAATTATAAAAAAGAAACCAAATTAGATTACATTATTAAATTAACCCGATCAGACCAAAATTTGGTTAAATATAAAAAAGAGATCAAATCCGATCAGGTAAATTGGACATAACTTTTCTTTTTTTTTTTTTTTTTTTTTTCCAACAAGACATATCTTTGAAATTGTCACTCAAATAAATTGAGTCAATAGACAACATTTTGTCTTGTTTTGTTTCTTTTTTGAAGAAAGTCAATAGTCAACATTTGTTGATTAAAGATATATGATGAAGTATAATTTTACATAAAATCTATTCTTGTATTTGTAAATAATAGAGATCACGAATTAATTGAAGTCACTTAAAATATCTAAACAAAATCAATGACGAAAATACAAAATCATCAATGCGTCAATCCTAGAATAAAACTACGTCGTGGAAACTTCACTACCTCATGGCTGATCAGACGAAGCATCTTCATGAATTGAAATATTCAATATGAAAATAATTTATAAATCATGTTGATTACATTTTCTAAATAAGGTCATTGCCGAAAAAATTTCAATTCAACCTGTCATAATAATGTGAAAGATAAATGTCAAGTCGTAAGATAAAAAGATAGAAACACTTCACCTGAATACATATACTTTAATTATAAAAAGTTTAAACCTTGAAATAAAGTTGAAACAACTTCCTAAAAAACATAGTCTAGTAGACTAACTACCAACAAAAAAGGAAAATTACTTTTTTTTTTTTCTCAATTAAATTTCACAATTAAAAATTAAATCACTTATTAAAATTAGTAAATTACAATTACAAGGCCATAAATCAATCTTCAAGTAGAAGCAGCAGAGAGAACAGTAGCATCATCATCGAAATTCCAAAGCTCCAAAGTAGCATTTCCCTCTAGACAACCACCCAACGACGGCTGAACAGTCGCAGATTGACCATCCAAATATGGAATTTCATAAAATTTCATGTAATTTTCATAAGCCATCAACTCCTCAGACAACTTTTGCACTTCATTTTCCTCCTCTTCCACCACCGCAGTCTCCGCCTTCGGCACTGGCACTACTCCATCCGAATTCGGAGCATTGTAAGCAGATTCTAAACCATACCCAGTTGATTTCTCTATACTTGATTCCAATCCATTTGACGAAAACTGCTGGTTTCCGTTTAAGTAATCGAACGACAAGTAATCAATTGTTTGGCTTTGAGAAACACAGTTGTTGTTGTTGAACTGTTGTTGTTGTTGCTGAGCTTGAAAAGAATGAGGATTGTAGTTGTAATTGTAGTTGTTTACTTGAATATTGTTAGTACAATGTTGTTCATCTTCATTAGGGAAATTGACCTTAGCTTTTTTACCACGGATTTTTCGAGCTTCTTTATCGTAAGCGCGAGCAGCTTCTTCAGGAGTATTGAAAGTACCGAGCCAAACACGAACACCATTCCTTGGGTCACGAATTTCCGCTGCCCATTTCCCCCATGGCCGCTGTCGTATTCCCCTGTATTCTGTCTTCCTCTGTTTTTTCGGCCGCTTTTCTTGTCGTGCATTGCTACCTGTTCAATAAAATTAATTACAACGATCAACACGTGATTTAAATAAATTAATAACACCAATCAACGTGTGTATTTTTTTATGATGTCGAAAAAGGAGAGAAGGATGAGTACCTGAAGAGGAGGAAAGTGACCTTTTAGGAGGAGGATAGGAAACTTGTTTAGTGAAGTTGTCTGATGAAGTTGAGATGAAATCATTAGGCCAGAAATCTGAACCAGAGATAAATCTGCCTTGATTTCGTGGGATTAAATCAGCTAAAATTGCACCTCCACACATTTTAAACAAAAATAAAAAAGATTAATACAAGTAAAAGGTTTATGTTTTGGGAGCTTAGAAATAAATTTTTTTTTTTTGTAAAGAAAGGTTTTTGTATTAGGGTAATGATTTTATTGGTTTTTTTGGATAAAAAAGTTGTGAAGTGAAATGTAAACATGAGGGGAAGAAAGAGGATAAGAAGTGTATTTATAATGGCGGTGAAAAGATTAAATAATAAGTGAGTTGGAGACAGCTGAAGAAAGGAGGTTTCGAAGTATGATACTTCACCCTTTTTCCATTTCTTTAGTCATGGTATGACTAGCAACTTTCAATTGGTCTTTTGCGGCCGGCAAGTTTATCTTTTGGTAATACGTATTATATCGAAACGTTTCATGGTACGGAATTTATTAGACATGTACTTTGGAGTTAAATTACATGAACTTTGTTAATTGATTTTGTAGTTCAATTTCATTCATTTTTGGCTCTTATGTTTATCTAAAGTTGATGTTTATTTGTGTTCATTGGATACACAATGAGCATTGTGCGCCTGGATACACAAATCAATAATTGAATTGCATAACAGATCGTTTTGTTGTGGGCCAAACTATCATCAACAATCATGATTACATTGTTAAATTCAATAATAATTAATTGTTAAATTTCTTAATATGTATTATCATATACGAAATAGTTAGTTTGAAACTCAATTTGGATTTTTTTTTTAATGAGCTAGGCGTCTTTCGGCCTTTTACTTGACTTAAGGGGGTGTTTGGTTCATCAAGTTGGAATGGATTGGTATGAAATCTCATACTAAAGAGATATGGAAACTAAAATCCATACTAGTCCAAAATTGTTTGGTTTTATTGTTGAAATGGATTCTATCCTTCATAGAATGGATTGTGAATCTTAGGGGGAGAGGTGGGTATGAGATTCCATGGGTATGGGGGAGAGTTAGAAACCCTTGGGTATGAGACTCCATTACTAAAAAAACTTAATCAAACAAAAAATTAGATGAAACGGATTCTAACTCCATTCCAACCCATTCCAAATGATCCAACCAAACGATCCCTTAGTTTAAAACCACAACCTTGTACTTGTACGACACTTTTTACTTAAAATGTTAGTAATGTATTTATATTTCTTTGAGCTATAAAAATTGATAATTGAAATAAGGAAAAAGTAGAAAATAACACCACAAATTTCACAAAAAATTGATTATAATACCACAAAATCTCAAACTTTTATTTTAACACCACAAAAAAAATCAAAAAAATTTTGATTTCACCACTATCTAACGGATTCTTGGATGGAATCCGTTAGTGGGGCTCACTGTGGACACGTGTCACTCAACGATTTTTTTTTTTTTAAGAAAAAGATAAATAATAAAAAAACCCTAAATCCTAACCCAACCCAACCCCACCACCGGAACCACCTGCCAAAGCCGCCGACAGCCCAAAGCCAACCGTCGGAACCCTCTAACCTTTTGCTGGAACCCCCTGACCCCACCAAAACCGCCGACTCCACCTAATCCCCCTTTCCTCCTCCCCAAAAACCACCCTAGCCACCGCAACCATCTCACGCAATGCCCCCACCGTACCGACTCCAGCACCCAGACAACGACCCACAGACTCCCGCCTGCCCGACGACCCCCGCCCTGATCCCCACCCTAGTCTGGGAACCTATCCCTTGCTAGCGGCGACTGGGGTGTGTTTTAAGGATGGGTTAGGTGGGTTTTTCGGTGGCTGGGGTGTTTAAAGGTCGGCTCAGGTGGGTTTTGCGGGGGCTCGGGCTGCCAACGGTGGGGCTGGGTTAGGGTTTAGGGGTTGTCGGCGGCAGTTGCATGGTTTCCAGTGGTGGGGCTAGGTTAGGGTTTAGGTTGTTTTTTTTTAAAATTTTTTTTAACCAATCAATGAATGACACGTGTACTTGGTGGGTTCTACTAACGGATTCTATCCAAAAATCCGTTAGATGGTGTTGAAATTCAGTTTTTGGGGTTTTTTTTTGTGGTATTACAATAAAAGTTGAAATTTTGTAGTGTTATAATCCAATTTTTAGTGAAATTTATGGTGTTATTTTTTAATTTTTCCTTCAAATAATAATGAACACTAAATAATTGAAAACATGAATTCAAGCCCGGCCCAATAATGGCTTACTTGGTGATGAGGGCCAACCTACTAGGTCGCAGGCATGCTAGCTACATACGTACGGAGTAGAAGAATTTATTTGTAGAGAAAGCTCATGAATCACAGCACCTTGTAAAAAGAAAAAAATCTAGAAAGGCCGAGTACAATCAGTACATATCCGGATTGGAAGTAGTTGTAGTGTTAACTTATTAGCTTGTACACTTGTAAACCCTAGAATAGGCAAAGTAGTTTGTTTGATTTCCATTATATAAAGTTTAGAAAGATTAGGGAAAGTTCATTCAGCCTATAAATCTGCATATTTAACATTGGTTCATGGGTAATTAAGCATTATTCCTACATCCAAAAATCTTCATGGGTGTATTTGATGAATATCAACCATAAAACAAAAACCAAAACCAAAGATTGAGAAAACTAAAACAAAATAACATAAACTCCAATCAAAATAATAACATCATATTAGTTATAACTAATTAGTTTTCAGGAGTTAATATGTAATTCATATTAAGTTTTTTTTTACAAAAAACACTATATTATAAATGGGATCACTTAGATTAATGGTTACAAAAGTTATTAGTTACAAAATTTAATTAGTGACTAGTTTTAAAATGTCGATCGTAAAACCATGATCACAATCCTATTTATCACCATTTGGTTATTTGCAACTATCTTATAAATTTTACACCTCATATTTAAAAATAAAATTAAAAAGTGGCTGTAAAAACTATGAGTGAATTTGAGAAATTTTTAAAGCAATGGGTTTTTAGATAAAGAAACCAATTATATGTAATAAATATGGTTTCTTAGAATATTAAATTCAAAATCACTTGTTAAATAAAAAGATATGTTGTCTTGATAAAATTAAATTAGATAAATCTAAACCTGGTATAAGATACCCTAACTTGTGAAAAATGTTTTCTTTAATAAGCTAAAGAAATTGTCTTTATTCTTAGTCAATGTAATTTTTTCTAGTTTTAATTCTATTATCAATTTTGATTTTTTATCTTTAAATTGACATATTGCAAATGTTAGGCTAATCTTTTTCTTTGTTTATATTTTGTGCAAAATTGATCTTATTTAGTTATACAATAGAAAAAACATATTTTATACTAATTCTTGTTTCAGAATGATTTATTGGAAGAATTAATATTATTACTAGCAACTTTAACCGAAAAGGTACATTTAGTGATTCAATGGTGATAGTATAGACAAAAAAAGAAGCTGTCAAATTTGGCTCGTTTAATAATAATTTTATACCCATACTTCTAAAAAATTACATTTAATATTGATTTTATTTAATTACATATTATTATGATTTAAAATACTAAAACCTGCAGGAGGGCGAATCCTCTAACGCTTAAATTAGATATCAAACAATGTATAATTTGAGTGTATTTAGGGAAGAGAGTAGATTTATTCCTTTTAGATAATAAGAGTGACCTCCCTTTACCTTGAGTATACCTATATCCGTGGTATATATAGTGGAATATGAGTGGACAATAATGAGCCCTAGTAGTGTATTTGGCTTATTTGGGCCTTGTGAGCCCTTTGGTGCTCCTTACACTTGTACGAGTAGGATTAACTAGGATATAATTAACCATTTTAATACTCAAACAATAAGTATAGTGGTAAGTCAAACAACTACGGAGTACATGAACATTTCCAAATGCAATTAATTTAATTTGACTAAAGTAAGGAAACAACAATATATATATTTTTTTTAAAAAAAGGGAAAAAAATATTTTATTGCTTATTTTGTTAAACTCAAGGATAATTGGAGAAAACAAGCAGGCAATTTCACATAACTAGACAACAAATTCTGCAATTTATTCAAGTCACCATAATAAACTGCAACAGACCGACTTCTTTGCTTACAATCAGCAATATCATGCTTAAGTTCAAAAATACGGGGACCGTTACCAAGAGAATAATGATCACGTAAATCATCCCACAATGCTTTAGCATCATCAGGAATAATAATAGTTGAACGAATACTAGCATCAAGAGTATTACAAATCCAAGCAACAACAGTAGAATTAACAATACCCCACTGCGATAATCCGCGTGCTTTGAGTCGGGCTTGACAATAGCCCATCAACAAAACCGAGCTTGCTCTTGGAACGAAGATTGTTGCGAATCGATCTCGACCACTCTTCATAGTAGTCGACGGTAAGCAACATGGGACAAATCACCAATTGAGAACCTTCACTCGGATGAAGATAATAATCGGTGAAAGGCTCGTACTTAGGAGGAGGTGGAGGAGGAGGAGAATCGCCTTCACCCATCACACCAAATTACGAGCAACACAACACTCGCACAACAACAGCAACACACGCACAAACCAACTTGACGCACCACACACGATACGCACTCACCACACCTAGCGCACCACACAGCACGCAACAACATCACCAATTACCATGCAACACATACACCAACGCACCACACAACACGCACACACCAACCTAGCGCCACACAGCACTACACACACACACCCAGCACGCACTAGTGACGCACCACACACGCACATCACGCACAAGAGGCGCACCACACACACTCATACCTGGCGCACCACACTTGGCAGCACACCACAACCACTAACATCACACAATTTCTACGCAGCACCACAAACAAGATGCCACCACACAACAACACGCAATCCAATACCAAAATAAAATAGGGTTTGATAAACCCTAAATAAACCAATCAATTTTGGAAATATCGAAAATAAAACAAAAAAATTGAAGCCCTAATTCCACTCAAGAAATGCGGAAAAAAAAAATTGAATATGATGGACGAACCAAGATAAAAAAAAAATCTCTAGAAATTAGAAAGGCTGTTATACCATGTTAAAGTCAAGGATAATTGGAGAAAACGGCTTAAGCTTTGCATTAATAATTACCACAATATATATACACAATACAAAAGATCTAACTTGCCTAAAAATCCTAACAAGATAAACTTGACATAAATACAATATTCACAAATATAAAACCAACCGACTTCTAATACTCCCCGTCAAGTTGGAGCATGTAGATCACGAATGCCCAACTTTCATAACAAAAACCCAAATTGTTGTCGTCCAAGGGCCTTCGTAAGAATATTTGCCAACTGATGATTCGTCAAAACATATGAAGTAGAAATATTACATTTAAACAACTCATCACGGACAAAATGACAATCTACTTCAATATGCTTCGTACGATCATGAAACACCGGATTCTTAGCTATATG